AAGAAAATTTCGCTTACGTTTATCCGTTCCTTCTTCATTTTTTGGAAACAAAACACCTGATGTATCCGCGCGACAAGGACGTCGTCCTGAGATTCGTCCAGGCTCTGGAATACTTCGACGTTATCAAAGACGTCCGAGAGTTGTTCGTCGCCAAACACGCGCGGGAGTTAACTAATCGAGAAGTGACTCAAGTGTTGTTAGAAGGCTCCATCAAAATAGCCGAACAAAAAGAAGAGACGATAACGGATTTGGACGAATTCAACTACGTCGTTTCCAAGAGAGTACACAGAGAGTCCTTAATTGCCGTGACCAGGATTCGCGAGGACGGAAAGAGATTTTTTGTGTTCACCGTCTACGGCCAACACAAGACCCTAAAGGAGATGTTTCCCGACAAAGAGGTGGAGGAGGACTTCACCTATCGCAACTTGACCTCGGTGGTCCGTCTCGGCTCGGATCTACGCAACGACGGGGACTTGGTGAGCCAATTGGGCAGCGTCTTATTGTACAGCGTTATGGGCAGACTGGGTTTCGGATTGACCTGCTACTCAACCTTCTACGGAGACGAAAAAGATATCTTCAGTGGATTGTGGCTCTTCTATAGAGAAAGACCCGGCGGAGGTAGATCCAGGAAAATCGTCGGACTCTCCCCTGGTAAAAAAATACCAGAAAAATCGTGTTTCCCTAAATGCTGCTCAAAGAAACCGGCAAAGTAAAATGACATTTGATCATTTTCCGTTAATTATAATAGATTATCGAAATTTTGTAGTCTTCATTTCATATAAATATTAAAATAGTGTCGTGCTATACTAAATTATAAATAATTTTAATCACATCTTTAAAATTTTCGTTAATAAATTCGGATACAACTAAATTTTTATTGGTATTCGTTTCATCTTTGTTTAATTATCCGAAATGTCAGAATCCACATCAGACACAAAAATAACAATAAAACAACTTTAATAAAAGGAAAAGATAAAAGGAAAATTGTGAAAAATTAAAAAATATATTATATTTTACTTTTACATTCATTCATCCGGCTTTGACTTTCTCGGAAGGAACGGGAGAGTAAAATTGGTAGAGGGCAGAGAGACTTCTCTCAACTGTAAACTCGATATCTCGGTAGTAACAAATTGAAGACTTTCTTACATTTGGATCACACTTTGTTTTAAATAGCATTTCTTACTTTATTCCACGTAAAATCAAGCGAGTCCCCGAAAGTTCAGTGCGCTGCATGTACTGTATGTGTGCTTCTTCAATGAGTCACGTTTTTGTACAGTACTAATTTGAGGTAGAGAGCATATATTTTAAATTAAATAAATTAAAAATATGATTAAAATTGCAGCTCGGCATTGGGGCGACGTCACAATAAATATTTGCTCGTTTTACATACAGTATTAATAAGCTAATATTTAATTGGTCATTATTTAGTCATTATTTTGCTCCGTAAAACTATTGTATGATTAGTAGAGAGCTTTAATACTCGGTCATTTGGCCAGTGTTTCGCTACAATTTGGTGAATAAAAATATACAGAATATTGCTTTATTAAAGCGAGCTATGGAGCAATAATACAGTATTTTCGTGCAATGTTATTTACAAAGTACGATCGGGAAAATAGTTCTACTTGCTAAGGAAAAAGTGTATTTGTTCGGTATTAGAATAAAGTAGGAATAATAGGAGAAAATTGTTTCTATTCAATTGTTGTTGAATTAAACACATTGTCAATAACATTTCATCATTCTTTATCTAAATATATTAAAGACTCCCGAATAACCCGTAATTATTAACACTTATGATAATTAATTTACGTTGTGGAAATTTAATTTTAATTGAACTGATTAAGTATCATCTCGAAAATAATAATTTGGCTGTATATTTATATACCGAAAATTAAAATTGTGCTATAGGTGAAAATTCTAAACTTGTCGCTAAAGGAAAATACATGTTTAAAAGAAAATATTTGGAGAATATACAATATATATCCCAATAGGGTGACCGTTGTTAGCAGTAAATGCTAACAACGGCCCACTTATTGGGGTTTCCTTCGTTTTGTTCGCAACCTGGATATTCTACGTTCTAATTACTAGGGCACTAATGGCCAGAGACGGATCTACGTAGGAACTAATAGGACTTAAGTCCTGCGCCCACAAAAATTGATTATCTTAAATTTTTAATACTTTTTCATTAATGATGAGCACTTGTCGTATAGTAAAAATATTTAATATTAATTAATAATATAATAATAATGTTAATTTATAGTATTAATTTTTTATTGTAATCAAAGTAACGTAATTGGTCAGGTCACCGAGTTGCAATTTTAAATCCATTGTTTCGAATTCGAATGCTATAAGAAGACTAATAATAATGGCTAGTTTACTATAAATGCACCTCTGCGAGGAGAAAAAAGAAAAAAAAGAAAGAAAATGGTAAAATTACTTAGTGTAAGGGGCAAAAATGGGGCCCCGTTGGACTTCAATAAGCCCTAGGCCTGGAAAAACCCAGATCCGCCCCTGCTAATAGCGGATATTTTCCTCGAGCTTTGCGTACGGTTAAGAAAAAATAATTATCGATATAGTTTTTGATAAGAATTTTGTTAATTTGTGCTGGGACCTTTATAACCAACTCTTCTCGAACGGAATTAGGTCAACACAATATGCAAAATTGAGGAACGGGCCGACCCCGGAAACTTTCTGGAATTGCTGACTCTAATTTGTATTGTGTAATAGTTTCGGTACAAGACGTAGGACTTTTGAAATCAAGGAAACGTGAATGCACGTTTTCTAGTGTGTTCGTTTTCGTTAGTAGTGTCACGTTTTCGCGCCACGAGTTTTCTTAGTCTAAATTGTCAAATTTGTACTTTTTTGAACCTATAAGAAAGCAGGAGGATGAATAAATTTCGCCGAGGTCTTTGTGTAAGTCGACGTAAGAAAATTTTTCAGATATTAATACAATACTAAGACACAGTTAGAGAATATTGAAGATGAAACAACCCTTAAAAGACCTATAAAGCTTCACGGGCTTAAACAATTCTTTTCTACTTGAATTGATAGGTTAGAAGATAACGTAAAGAAGAACTTGCGAAGTTAACAGAAATCAATGGGATATCCAATTAGACAGTATAAATAAATTCTAACGTAAATTATAGTAGTAGTGAACTTCCCATTTTATTCGTCAGACTATAAATCCGAATCGGTAAACATTATCAGAAAAGAGAAATATCGTCAATACCCACTGATATTTTAGATACAGCAAATCGTAATTCTAATTTTTTAAAAATATATCGTCAAATTAACATTGGCTAGCAAGAACTTAAAACAATTTTGAAAGAAAACACCAGTATTATTTTTAAAAATATATTATCTAGTTTCCTTGCAGAAATTTGCTACCAGATATGATAATTTTGTCGAATGAAATACTGTTTACTGTGGATATTACGTCCAATAAATTAATATAAATTAGATTTTTTTTTCTTTTGGAAAAGGTGTTTTGTTTGCCCGGAATCTGAATAACGCGAAGACACATAGGAGGATTAACGACATTACAGAAAAAATTACGAAAAAGTAATCATCAAGATATGGCTATAATTTGGACAATTTTATACTATTCTATTATATGTTCGTTCTTGATGATGGCTGCATAAATAGCCGAAAACGTTAGAAAATTTTAAAACATTTTGCTGGAATAGGATGGAATCTTTTTTATTCTTACATTTATATTAATTTACTAGCTGCAAGGACCCGTTTCGCTGGGTTTTTATTTGTATGTAATATAGTTTTTTTTATATATATAAAAGCCTGTTTTTCTGAGTAATCTAGAATCTAGCTGCAAGGACCCGCTTCGCTGGGCAAAAAGTAACNTCTAATTTTAGCTATTATGGTGGCTTCAAACATTTAATATTAATAATTAAATACAAATTTAGCATGTTTAAACTTGCATAGAGTGGAGATAGCGAATTGTACACGCTTTTCATAAAGGAAAAAGTATGATAAGACGACGAACCATTTCTTTCTTTTTATGAGCCTTCGACGTAACATCGATATCTCTAGCGAGCGATAAAAGGGGAATGTCATCTTTTATAACTAAAACCTGTAGAATTACTACCAGATTTCTACTTTTTGTAATAAAAAAATGCGTTGTTTTTAATTATCGTACGTAATTTTTTGTTGCCGATAAGTTTACTAGCAATTAAATTAATGGTATCAAGAAATTTGCTAGCAATTAATTTAATTACTGGTAAACTTTATTGATTTAACAGCCAATAAACTAAGCTGTTTTACGATCGATTAACTCCTGAAATCGGCAACTTATCCAGGCTCTCAGATCTTTTTTTGTCATCTTTCTCTTTTTTAAGTCATACGTTCGATTAATGGATAACTATTTATTTCGAAATAAGTAAAATTATATTTTTCTATACAATTTTGTTGTCTTACCTCACCTTTCACTAACTGGAATAGAGTATTAGCATTTATTATTTATCACACGAATCATCTTTATAAAATATCTACGGTAATAATTCAATGAAAGAATAGGAAAATGTAATTTTATCAAAGGCATACGATTTCATACGAACCTAATAAGTTTGATATTTATAGATAGGACTATACTTGTATGCACTAAATTAAATCTTTCTCGGTATTAACTTATTAAACATAAGTAACATAAATTATTCGATTGATCGTCGCAATTGTGGTGAACGTCGCTCCCCGATGAATATGAATATCTAATTAAAGAAACATTGTTATAAATATTTATAATCCGTTTCTATTCTCTTTCTAACAAAGTTTCTTCGGCCGCATAAATGAGACGATAGAATAAGGTGAAGAATGATGTTTCTTGGCAGACGTGGAGTGGCATTAATTAACGCAAGGCGATAAATTACGAGTGCGAAACTTTAGAAGGACTTCGATCGATACGTATTGAAGGTTATTACGATCCGAGTGCGTGGGATTAAAATGGAATGCAATATGATTTTATTCCTTTATTAACAGGAAAGTGTACTTACGTTTGTCCATGCAAGAACGATAAAAAGTTTTGGCCTTGATAGTGGCACTGTTATCGAAAGAGTTGGTGGGTTCTTCCAACAGATCTAGAATAAACAAGCGGAATAACGAAGGCTGAAGTGTGTGCAATATTTACGCCATGGAATATTTACCTTTTAGCACGACTTGTAGATCGTCGGCCATCACTTCGAAAGTGCTGATGCTGCTCTTGTCTTCTGGGATAACGTGGCGCTTGTTCCAAGTTCCGCAGGCGTATTGGAAAAAATCCGTGCACGGATCTGCCGTCTGATCCATGGCATTTAAGAGAGATGATGCTAAAAAGTCGTAATCTAATTAAGTCGTCTACTAAAGAAACTAAGAAAACTGCGAATGTTTTCTTATCGAGAAAATGAATTTAGAAATTTTATTAATATTTGATGATAATATTTTTGTAACGTTCAATTAAATTATTTGAAATTTAAAACTGCTAAACAGTGTATCTATATATTATAATTAAATATATAATTTGAATATTCATCTTAGTAATATTTAAGGTACAAATAAAGGATTCGGACATAGAGTAAATATTTAAAATTTTAATTTAAATCAAAGTTATATTTTCGTAATATTTGCCAACGAGCTTCATTAACGAAACAGAACTATTATACAGCAAATGCTGTAATGCATATTAACGTCTTATATAATTTATATGATTTTTATATTATGATTATACGAGGACCTGTATTCCAGCATTTAAACGCGCGGAAATGTCGAAAGGCATTTACAGTCTTTATCGTTAGTATAGACACTAAAAATGTAGCCTATAATTACATTTGTCTTACCTGTTTTAACACATTCCGGAGACAAACACACCGATAATTTTCCTAAAATTAGCAAAAATAACTTTTTAAATCGAATAACAAGAGAGAATGACAAGATATTAGGAGATCCGAAACTGAAGGAGCAATTAATTAGGAGTAATATAGAAAAATATTACCTTGAGATCTGGAGAACGTTAGGTATATAAAAACGATACACAGAGCCAACAACACAACAACGGTAAAAATGAGATAACGTTCTAAATGAGTCCTTTGATTCAAGACTACGGGGNATATAGATTACAGTTAAATTTTATTATTAGTATTTGGATGTTCGAGATAAGGATTTCAGCCGACGTACTGTACAAACAGTCGACTGTTTCTAGACGTTACTCCATCGAAACTGTTACTCTATAACGTACAAGATACGAATAATAAATTTTTTTTTTGTTTAAATTTTGGACGATCCATTAGATTAACACTGTTTTTATTCAGTAGACAGCTGGCATTCTAATGAATACGAAGTTACAAATTATGTAAAGGATAAATTTCAGTTAGTTAATAATTTTGCAATTAAGGGAGCAAGTAGAGGACGTCCTTCTTTTGGAATGCTCGGTTATAATACTGTACATTCGTTACTTTTTCTTCCAAACACATAATCGTCTTACAGTTAAAATTACGCAAGTTAAAATCTTGCCTATTAATTTAATCTATGCTCCTTCCGGCGGAAATACGAATATGATTTTAGAGAAACATTAATGCAAATTGATAGATATCCACATCCTAGAAAATACGTAATTATCGGTGGAGATTTCAATCGGAGACTCATCCATGGTTTTGCACAATTAGATCGAGTCTCGAGAAAATCAACGCCAGAAAAATAATTGGGCTGCAATTTCAAAAAATTGTAACTCTATAAATTCCCACTGTCGTCCATCCGTCTGATGCCCGCCTATCTTTCCTTAATCTTGAGAAAGTAGTTAGACAGATGAAAGACGAGACCAGGCCTTAGGGGCAGGAGGCCTCGATTAACTATATACGAACTTCCGATGCAAACCAATAGTCACGTTATTTCAATTAAAAATTATTTTCGCAGACGGAATTAGATACATCACTGGCACGGCTTCGTTATTAATTAAGAGAAAAAAGCATTACGTACGGTAGCGAGACACTACTAAACTTAAATGCGTTGTGACGAAAATTTGCAGCCCGGCATTGTGAGGATGTCGCAATAAATAATTGTTTATTGTGACATTGCCGGGCTGCAATTTCTAATGCTCTCCACCTCGAATAAGTAATGTTTCATCCGGTACTGTACTGTACTGTACGTCATATTTTTCCTTTAATAATAGAGTCGTTCCGGTCATCTAACACCTTTGCGGGGGAATATTTGAATTGATATCCCACGTGACTTTCGGTTCGAATCGGAAGTTCACGTACAGCCTCCTGCCGATAACGTTTCCGAATCTATCTAGCTCCGTTCTCGAAATTAAAGAAGGACGGACGGACTGACCTGTGTATCTAAGGAAACTATTGATTTAAAAAATGCGGTTATTTCGGGTATTGCCCACACGAGTGGCACTCCGCTCCCGTCGCGCTCCGTCCCTCGTCATTCTTACCGTGGGCCCGGTTGAACTTACGACGAGTACCGTAAAATTTTCACGTCGATAATGATGCGCGACGTCATAATCAAGAATATAATTACACACGCAGAAGTGAGAATAGGGAAATTTGCAGGAAACCAATCGAATGAGGCCCAGTGGCGCGTTATAGCTTTATGGGATCCCGGGAAAATTTAAATTACGGGCTCCGTGTACATTGTTGACTTCAAACATTTTTGTTCGGAGGATTTTTGAGAAAATCTCCAGGTGTTCGTGTTCGTTTTCTAACGTCACCTTTGCTCTGCGTTAGTCTCGCGCTTGCGCCAAAGCGGCAATCTAGGGTTTCTAGATATGGCCCAAATTTAAATTTCCATATTCTTACTACAGCAATTAGCTTATGAAAGATTGGTCGAAGGCCCCCGTCGGTGGACCGCAGGCGATTGCCAATTTTTGTGGACCGCAGGATATAACGCGCCACCGAGCGGACCCGTTATTTTTCCATTTGAAATCAAACTGCAATTAAATGGAAAATTTTATCCGCCATTTTCATTTTTTTTCTGTTTTATGTTTTTAGTCTGGTAACGGAAACGACGCATCCTGAGATAAAAATCGTACCATGTAATTATTTATAATGGGAGTTCCTATTGGTACATTCGCTATCGTAATACGAAGAGAAACACACTCCGATTTACTTTCTAATTGCATCTCGTTTTCGCCGTAATTACGCCAACGGCAGCTGGAAATATATTTTCTGCCTTTTCATTCTACTAATTTACTAAAGTTATAAAGCGTTAACTTTTAATAAACATTTTATACAACGATAGTCACTGACGCCATTTTGCGCCTTTGTCCGACACATTTCTCCAATCTCAAAACAACCAAACGAGATATTAATGACGTTGGCCCATCGCCGAAATCTATCGTTTATTCGGACGAAAGCGCCGCCTTGCGTTTTGTTCGGTTCCGTTATTTGCATTACCCGAAACCAGCAAATAATAGGATAATACATTCGTGGGGAGAGACTTGGCAGATTAACGGCGAACTCCATTAGATAGATGGGGATTGCCGATCGTTTTCGCAGACGCGTTCCGTCGTTAACCGAATTTCGCGGAACTGCCGAAGATTCCGAGATTTACGCCCGCTCCCAGGGGTGACGAAGCAGTTGTTTCCCTGTCGTCAACCGCCGACACTCGAGGCGGGTTGACGCTCGTTGCGGATGAATTCGGCAGACACCCGTTGCGCGGTTCCGTATAACAACCGGGACATTTCTCGTTTCTAGCACTGTTTTACACGACGGATCGACGACGAATATTCCGGGCGGCCGCCTTCTCGTCCACACTTTTCGCCATAGTCGAGTGTCTTACTGTAGATTATCCACACCGGAGTGGATATTCTACGTAGAAGGTATACGTATTTACATTCGGAATGGAGTAGAGTATATACGAGAGACTTTAGAAATGAAATGGACGAAAGCGATTCGGTTCAAAACCCGAATTCGTATCGGTGAATCGAAAAACACGTCGGAAGGAAAACGGGCGGGTGCGTCCGAGACGGGAAATTGTCGTCGACAGATTCCACCTGCAGAGATTTGCGACATCACACGTGCCGTGATTTTTATTTTTACCGGCGAGACGGCGAAAAGTCTGGGTCGAAACTAAATTTTCGTCCCGTTGCCCTTTAATACTCGGAAACGGGATGCGGGAAGAAAACGTCCGTATTATTACGTCGACGAGCCGCCAGCGTACGTAACCATTTTGGAGCCGCCTTTAGACGGTAATTAACGTATTTCAAACGCCAAGTATGAAATTTGGAAGCGTGCCAAGGGAAACGCGTAAGAGCCGGTCGAACCTTTGGAGTATATAAAAATACGTCACCGTCGACAACGACAGACCGCGCCGACCGCTCGGCTTTTTCGGAGATGAGAAATCTAATTTTAATGGTTTTCTCGGTAGCCGTGGCAATACGCGGTAAGTTGCTCACTCCTTCTGTTTTACACATACACAATTAATCTTTAGTGTGATACGCGGAAATACTTCCACGTCCGTTATTCGTAAATATGAAGGGCAATGCAATTCTAGATGTATTTTAGATTTAATTTCCGAAAAAAAGAAACGAATGGGAGAAACGGAATTTAAGAAGACTTTCGTAATGGTAATGATTAAAAGTCTAAATTGACAACTCCGAATAAGAACGAAACTGTTGAGAATCGTCGTTTCGGTGTTTTAAATTTTCCAGCTTCCATCGGTATTATACATTTAGAAGCAGAAGGAACGATAAATCTTCGAGAAATTTAAGTTTTAATATTATTGTGGTATAGACATATTATATTATAAGCGTTATTATACTTTCCATGTATCTACCATGAAGACTGTATAAAAAATAAGGTAAATTGTATTGTTGATTTCAGAAATGGAATGTCTTTTAGAGTATGCGTATCCCATAGCGAAAAACGGCTGCAGAATCAGTTGTGTACCGCTGGAAGAGGACGATTTGTGTATCGCTTACTGCCAGGAACAGGGAGCGGATGACGCTGTCTGCAGTGCCGCGGCTTCGGCCTGTCTCTGTTACGATGCGCCCGATACCATGATGATCTGGAATGCGGCTTCCTCCAAATGTCCGTACTGGAACGAAAATTCTGTTAGATTCTTAGTTTGATATCATTTAATTATCTCAAAAAATGTATGGAAAAAATTCAAATATTCATTTTAAATGAAAATTAAAGTACTTAACTGGTTTTCGTATTTGTTTCTTTTTTAATGCCCTTTTCTCCTGCACACAAATAATATTACGTATTATACTGGATTTACACTGGATAAAATTGACGAACACCTGCTCTCTCTCCCGTGTTGGAATCCCGAATCGAACCCGACGGTCTGCTCCCGGAGTAATTTTTTTTTTAATTTTCAGAGCTGAATTTTAAGGTCTGTTTGATTTATGAGGACCCAGGCACGCGCTTCGTGCATCTGTGAGGAAATCCGCCACTGGTGATCAGCGAGTGGCCCGCAAGTGCAAAAAGTTATTGCTTTGCTTTTTTGCACTTGAGGACCATTCGCTGTCGGCGCGGATCTAGCCGAAGAGAATACCCAATTCGCTTTAGCACTTTTTTAAAAATCACCTTAAATTCTCCATTTCAAAGTAAATAAAAAAATACCGAAAAATATGGCGCTTAAGTGCAAAATCGTATAAGTAAATAACGTACCACCGAAGTGTTTTGTAATGGAGATAACTCTTTGAAAACTTGGAGGTCATTTAATATATTCATTTTATTAAAGAGGGTCAATTTAATTAATATTTTAAAGAAATGTTTATTTGAAATATTCGTTAGAAATTTTATTTTATTTTCGAGTTTAGTTAATTTAACGAAGGAAAAACTTCCTTTTTTGTTTGACTAACAAGTAAGATTAGATCATTTTCCTCCGTAACACTAAAATTATCTTAAAAGTTATTGACACATCTTGTGGCGCAACTCACCCCCTTTTCCCGTCACACGGTGTGTTTAAGTAACTCCTCATTGAAGGAGATTCGGACCATGAAAGTCGAGAACACCAAACTTTTAGGGTTCTCTCTCGTGTTCTCGGGTGTTCTCTCTTGAAGTTCCCTTTCTGTCTCGAAGTATTCTCTCTAGTCCGAAGTTNGAAATATTCGTCGTCGATCCGTCGTGTAAAACAGTGCTAGAAACGAGAAATGTCCCGGTTGTTATACGGAACCGCGCAACGGGTGTCTGCCGAATTCGTCACACGGTGTGTTTAACTAACTCCTCATTGAAGGAGATTCGGACCATGAAAGTCGAGAACACCAAACTTTTAGGGTTCTCTCTCGTGTTCTCGGGTGTTCTCTCTTGAAGTTCCCTTTCTGTCTCGAAGTATTCTCTCTAGTCCGAAGTTCTTTCTCCCGTGTGCCCTCAAAACACTACGTTCCACCGAGGTTCTCAACATTTTTTCGCTGGATTCAGAATCGTCAAGATCGAGTCGTACGAACTTAACATATTTTAAAGACGATTCCAATGGAATGTACAAGTAATATATATATTGTAAACTCTCTCTCATGATTTTAAAATCGAGAAATTCTTCCTGTATTTTACTTATCTCGTATCGATATTACATTAGTGTGGACTGTTAACTTAGAACGAATATTCTTCGAATCCCTAGACAAAATAGTGTTGGTCTCGTCCCTAAAGCCTCTTAACTTTAGCCCGAGAAATCTGTGTGTGTGTATGTGTTTTGCAGTTGAATTATCGTAAAATTTCGCGTCAATAAATGTACATTTTAGTTACTAAGACCACGGTTTTTATCATCCGCTCCGAATCCAACTTCACCAATCCTCCACCTCCGGAAAAGCCCGAGAGACGTCGGAACACGCGGTTAGTACGTTATAAAGTCAATATTCGTATTGCGAAAAATTACGTTTTAAAACTCTCGAGTGCATACGTAACTTATAACTTTGAAATATTTGATGAGTACATTAAACGCAAGTTTTAAATCAAGTTTATACATTTAATCGTTTGGACTAATTTGCAAAGTGTTGTCGTGTTTACGAGAAAGCCTTTAAAAAAACAAAAGGGCAGAAGTTAACTACTTCAATTTTTATTTAAAATAAACGTGTCAGTGAACATTTAACAGTTTTTCCTTTCGTAGAGTTTAATTTTCGTTAACATAGAATCGAACGGAATTTTCTTTCCAGGCCTCACAATTGGCGTAATCGGCATTCCAAGTAGCCATGTGGAGGGGTCCATTCTCGCAATAGCAAGACGAAGCGGGATCTTTGCAAACGCCTTTTTCCGCTCCATTATTCTTGCAATAAGTATCGCATAAGTCGTCCTCTATGCCGGCTACGCAACTAATTCTGCAACCGTTTTCTCTAATCGGATATCCCGTCCTCGAGCATTTCATTTCTAAACTCGAAAACGCAATTTACAATTATTATTTGTATACAATAGTTATATAAAAACTACAATAACGCCTATAATAGTCTATATATAATAAATAATATTAAAACTTAAATATAAATTTGTCGACAGTTATATTGTTCCGAAAGGCCCACCACCGGCCGAGCGGTCTTCATTTCCCGAACACTAGCCACGTGGAGTTTTCCGGGTTTTCTCCACGTCTTTAATGCTTAAATAGGGGCCAGTTTTCCTTAAAAAATCCTCCAAGAAGGCATTCCACTAGACAGATCGCCCAACTGCTGCCATTACTAAACAAACAAACATAATATTATATCATTCCCCCATCTTTAAATGTATATTTCCCGTCAATGCTCGAAAATTACAAAATCGAAACGACCATTCTCGAGTTTCGTCCTGGTTTGCAGACGTTGCGAATTACAGACTTTTCAACAATAAATTATATTCGCCGGAATAGAGAAGGCGTTTATCAATTAAAAATTCATTCCACAATTTTCGATTATTCATTCGAAGAAAACCGAAACGAATCCATCGGGACTGAATAACTCCGATAAATGCCGACCATTCTTCCGTAAACGTCCCAGAAAAGTTTTGTTAAATGTTGCAAAGGTCAAACGAGGATATTTTTTTTTATCGGAAATTAAATCTAAAATACATCTAGAATTGCATTGCCCTTCATATTTACGAATAACGGACGTGGAAGTATTTCCGCGTATCACACTAAAGATTAATTGTGTATGTGTAAAACAGAAGGAGTGAGCAACTTACCGCGTATTGCCACGGCTACCGAGAAAACCATTAAAATTAGATTTCTCATCTTCGAAAAAGCCGAGCGGTCGGCGCGGTCTGTCGTTGTCGACGGTGACGTATTTTTATATACTCGAAAGGTTCGACCGGCTCTTACGCGTTTCCCTTGGCACGCTTCCAAATTTCATACTTGGCGTTTGAAATACGTTAATTACCGTCTAAAGGCGGCTCCAAAATGGTTACGTACGCTGGCGGCTCGTCGACGTAATAATACGGACGTTTTCTTCCCGCATCCCGTTTCCGAGTATTAAAGGGCAACGGGACGAAAATTTAGTTTCGACCCAGACTTTTCGCCGTCTCGCCGGTAAAAATAAAAATCACGGCACGTGTGATGTCGCAAATCTCTGCAGGTGGAATCTGTCGACGACAATTTCCCGTCTCGGACGCACCCGCCCGTTTTCCTTCCGACGTGTTTTTCGATTCACCGATACGAATTCGGGTTTTGAACCGAATCGCTTTCGTCCATTTCATTTCTAAAGTCTCTCGTATATACTCTACTCCATTCCGAATGTAAATACGTATACCTTCTACGTAGAATATCCACTCCGGTGTGGATAATCTACAGTAAGACACTCGACTATGGCGAAAAGTGTGGACGAGAAGGCGGCCGCCCGGAATATTCGTCGTCGATCCGTCGTGTAAAACAGTGCTAGAAACGAGAAATGTCCCGGTTGTTATACGGAACCGCGCAACGGGTGTCTGCCGAATTCATCCGCAACGAGCGTCAACCCGCCTCGAGTGTCGGCGGTTGACGACAGGGAAACAACTGCTTCGTCACCCCTGGGAGCGGGCGTAAATCTCGGAATCTTCGGCAGTTCCGCGAAATTCGGTTAACGACGGAACGCGTCTACGAAAACTATCGGCAATCTCCATCTATCTAATTTCGTTCGCCGTTAATCTGACAAGTCTCTCCCCACGAATGTATTATCCTATTATTTGCTGGTTTCGGGTAATGCAAATAACGGAACCGAACAAAACGCAAGGCGGCGCTTTCGTCCGAATAAACGATAGATTTCGGCGATGGGCCAACGTCATTAATATCTCGTTTGGTTGTTTTGAGATTGGAGAAATGTGTCGGACAAAGGCGCAAAATGGCGTCGGTGACTATCGTTGTATAAAATGTTTATTATTCCGCATTAAAAGTTAACGCTTTATAACTTTAGTAAATTAGTAGAATGAAAAGGCAGAAAATATATTTCCAGCTGCCGTTGGCGTAATTACGGCGAAAACGAGATGCAATTAGAAAGTAAATCGGAGTGTGTTTCTCTTCGTATTACGATAGCGAATGTACCAATAGGAACTCCCATTATAAATAATTACATGGTACGATTTTTATCTCAGGATGCGTCGTTTCCGTTACCAGACTAAAAACATAAAACAGAAAAAAAAATGAAAATGGCGGATAAAATTTTCCATTTAATTGCAGTTTGATTTCAAATGGAAAAATAACGGGTCCGCTCGGTGGCGCGTTATATCCTGCGGTCCACAAAAATTGGCAATCGCCTGCGGTCCACCGACGGGGGCCTTCGACCAATCTTTCATAAGCTAATTGCTGTAGTAAGAATATGGAAATTTAAATTTGGGCCATATCTAGAAACCCTAGATTGCCGCTTTGGCGCAAGCGCGAGACTAACGCAGAGCAAAGGTGACGTTAGAAAACGAACACGAACACCTGGAGATTTTCTCAAAAATCCTCCGAACAAAAATGTTTGAAGTCAACAATGTACACGGAGCCCGTAATTTAAATTTTCCCGGGATCCCATAAAGCTATAACGCGCCACTGGGCCTCATTCGATTGGTTTCCTGCAAATTTCCCTATTCTCACTTCTGCGTGTGTAATTATATTCTTGATTATGACGTCGCGCAACATTATCGACGTGAAAATTTTACGGTACTCGTCGTAAGTTCAACCGGGCCCACGGTAAGAATGACGAGGGACGGAGCGCGACGGGAGCGGAGTGCCACTCGTGTGGGCAATACCCGAAATAACCGCATTTTTTAAATCAATAGTTTCCTTAGATACACAGGTCAGTCCGTCCGTCCTTCTTTAATTTCGAGAACGGAGCTAGATAGATTCGGAAACGTTATCGGCAGGAGGCTGTACGTGAACTTCCGATTCGAACCGAAAGTCACGTGGGATATCAATTCAAATATTCCCCCGCAAAGGTGTTAGATGACCGGAACGACTCTATTATTAAAGGAAAAATATGACGTACAGTACAGTACAGTACCGGATGAAACATTACTTATTCGAGGTGGAGAGCATTAGAAATTGCAGCCCGGCAATGTCACAATAAACAATTATTTATTGCGACATCCTCACAATGCCGGGCTGCAAATTTTCGTCACAACGCATTTAAGTTTAGTAGTGTCTCGCTACCGTACGTAATGCTTTTTTCTCTTAATTAATAACGAAGCCGTGCCAGTGATGTATCTAATTCCGTCTGCGAAAATAATTTTTAATTGAAATAACGTGACTATTGGTTTGCATCGGAAGTTCGTATATAGTTAATCGAGGCCTCCTGCCCCTAAGGCCTGGTCTCGTCTTTCATCTGTCTAACTACTTTCTCAAGATTAAGGAAAGATAGGCGGGCATCAGACGGATGGACGACAGTGGGAATTTATAGAGTTACAATTTTTTGAAATTGCAGCCCAATTATTTTTCTGGCGTTGATTTTCTCGAGACTCGATCTAATTGTGCAAAACCATGGATGAGTCTCCGATTGAAATCTCCACCGATAATTACGTATTTTCTAGGATGTGGATATCTATCAATTTGCATTAATGTTTCTCTAAAATCATATTCGTATTTCCGCCGGAAGGAGCATAGATTAAATTAATAGGCAAGATTTTAACTTGCGTAATTTTAACTGTAAGACGATTATGTGTTTGGAAGAAAAAGTAACGAATGTACAGTATTATAACCGAGCATTCCAAAAGAAGGACGTCCTCTACTTGCTCCCTTAATTGCAAAATTATTAACTAACTGAAATTTATCCTTTACATAATTTGTAACTTCGTATTCATTAG